GGGTTTAGGGTTTAGGGTTTAGGGTTTAGGGTTTAGGGTTTAGGGTTTAGGGTTTAGGGTTTAGGGTTTGGGGTTTAGGCTTTAGGCATTAGGTTAAACCCTAACAGAACCCTAACCCCCCTGGACCCTAAGTCGTTGCTTGGGCGCTAGGAGCTCGCCCGGGCCCTCGTCGTCGCTGCCGCCGTGGTTCATGGGCAGGCTGACGTCGGTAGGCTTGCCGTTGAAGGCCTGGCAGGCAGCCCCCCCTAAACCCTAAACCCTAAACCCTAAACCCGAAACCCTAAACCCTAAACCCTAAACCCTAACCCTAAACCCTGAACCCTAAACCCTGAAACCTAAACCCTAATACCCTTATACCCGAATTACCCTAATACCAAGGCATTCTTGGCTTTCGACGCCCAGCCTGGGATTTCTGTGCCCTAAAACTGCCGGGGCCTCAAAAAACCCAAAAAACCTGAAGTCTAAAACCCTAGGGATGAGGGTTGAGGGTTTAGGGCTTAGCTCTATGAGCCTCTATGAGCCTCTATGAGCCTCTGAGCCCAACAAGCCAACCCCAAGCCAACCCTTACGCTGCAAATCCTAGAACTATATATGATTCCGACCCCTAAAAAGTAGGTCTCACTTGGTCCGCAAAGAACGCTGGCCGGCCTTCCCGCATGCACAGCACCGATTCATGGCCCTGGCGCATTTCTCGCACCTCGTGACAGGAGGACGGCGTGTTTACGGAGGGGTTGAGGGCTGAAGCCAGCCCTAAACCCTAAGACCTAAACCTTATCTAAACCCTAAACCCTAAACCCTAAACCCTAAGCCCTAAGCCCTAAGCCCTAAGCCCTAAGCCCTAAATGGAGAACCTTGGCATGAACCGAGGGTACCAATTTTTGTTGAGGCATTGAAGGGGTTGAGAAGGGAACCTACTTGCTAAACAACCAGGGGGACAAAGGGTTAACATGAGGGTTTAGGGTTTGGGCGGTGGGTCGCGTTCGTGGGTTTCTAGATCTTTAGGATTTTGTTTGTAAATTCTAGTTTATGGGTTAAGGCCAGGTCCTCCCTGCACCCCGCTCCCCAAACCCTTGACTATGAAGGGTTTAAGACTCGCACGCCTAAGGTTGTACCCCTAAAGGTTTCCCTTGACATACTCCACCTACGGGCCATTTGGCTTTTAACCTTAAGAACCGTTAGAAAGGGTCCCCAAACCCAAGGGAACCACCTTGGGTGTCCAAGGTAGTGTCCTTTGATCTTCACAGAAAACAAAACACCCAACACGCCAAAAACATCCCGAAACCCTAAACCCTAAACCCTAAACCCTAAACCCTAAACCCTAAGCCCTGATCCCTAAACCCTAAGCCCTAAACCCTTCATATAGAAGTTCACCGTAAAGCATGCAAAGGATAGCTACACGGTCCTTTAATCTGGCCCCTTACCTCCTGACTTGGGGCCCTTGGGTTTTGCAGAGTATATAAGAGGCAACCCTAAACCCTAAACCCTAAACCCTAAACCCTTGAAAGGGTTCTGACTTGGGGCCCTTGAGTTTTTCAGAGTATATAAGGGGTATATGAGGTATATGATATAAGCTTGGTAGCCCAGTTACCACATTATAATGAGGGCACCCATCTTGAGGGATCCTTTGACCCCAAGACGCACCATCCCCCAAGCCCTCAGGCAGCCGCCTCCCAGAAGCTTAAACATCGCTACACAAACGCCATCAGAATCCCTAAGCCCAAGACCCTAAACCCTAAACCCTAAACCCTAAACCCTAAACCCTAAACCCTAAACACCGCTCCTATTATCGGGTTGTTAAGGGAGGGGGGTTCCAGCAGGGTATAGGGTTGTACTCCCCACTACTTCCTAAGGCTCCCTAAGCTTCCCAAGGTACCTACCTTCAGAACCCAAAGCCTACTTTTCTTGTAATTTACCTAAGAATCCTTTGAGGGGTTGGAATGTAGATTATGGGCTCTTCCAACCAAATCCCTCAAAACCCCAAGCATATAAACTGCTAAACACCCAAAGCCCTGAATACCTCATGCCTAAACCCTAGACGGTCTAGCAACCCGCAGCTGCAAGACATTGATCTCGGCATTGGCGCGGCTTCTTTTCGCAGAGAAGTCCCGCTCGATCTTTGAAGTCGTCGCCCCCGCGGCGCTTGCCCCCCATGGCCACAACGTCGGCTAGGTCAGCGACGTTGCCCTAAACCCTAAACCCTAAACCCTCAACCCTAAACCCTAAACCCTGGTTGTTCAAAGAAGTCTTGAGAGCCGCTTCACTGCATGCCACCAAGTCTGCCGTGGGGGAGTCCTCCAATGTTGAGGGGTTAGGGTTTAGGGTTTAGGGTTTAGGGTTCAGGGTTTAGGGTTTAGGGTTTAGGGTGTGGCGGCCCAGCTCTGCAGCAGTGGCCTTTGTCTGAAGCAAGTCGCTCAACCGACCCAGTAAAGTCTCAGAGGCATCCAAAGAAAGACTGTTGGAGCAGCTGAAGAGTTGCAGGCAATGCAACGTCCGTGTACCTATACCCTAAACCCTAAACCCGAAACCCTAAACCCCAAACCCGAAACCCGAAACCCTAAACCCTAAACCCCTCTGACACTTGGAGCAAGGCGCATGCACTGGTAGTCCAGCAACTCCCGGTCCCGACTGAAACTGGCCGACACGCAGAACCTCGAGAACTTAAGCGGTTAGATGCGTAGGGTTTAGGGTTTAGGGTTTAGGGTTTAGGGTTTAGGGTTGAGGGTTGAGGGTTGAGGGTTGAGGGCTGAGGGTTGAGGGAGTTCACAACTCCTTAACGGCTCCTGCGGTAAAGCAAACCCAAACCGCAAACCGGGAAACCCTGGACAGACCGGGCTGGAGCGTACGGGAGTTGGTGATTGCTGCAACAGGCGGGTATTTGCCGTTTAGGGTTTGGGGTGTAGGGTTTAATTCAGGCTTTCCACCTCCAAAATCAGGTCGGTCTGCCGCAAGGTCCCCCCCCCCCTCAGACCCTACGGTTTAGGATTTAGGGTTCAGGGTTCAGGGTTCAGGGTTTAGGGTTTAGGGTTTAGGGTTAAACCCTAAGCTCTCCCTCTGAGGCCAAGCTCCCTAACCATAACGTCCATGATCAGGCCGCCTTCAATTTGGGTCCCTATGCCCTTGATAAACCCAATCCCGTACGCCCTAAACCCTAAACCCTAAACCCTAAACCCCTAAACCCTAAACCCAAAACCCTCAACCCTACCTTATGTGCACTTTAAGGGCAAAACCTGTATCGGATCCTGCGGTCCAAACCACCCGCAGGTGCCGCAGTAGGGATGCTGGCACATGGCCATGGTGAAGCAGTCGGCGCAGTGGGCGTCGTCTTCGGCCTTACCAGGAAGAAGGGGCCCGAACGCATGATAGGCAACCGCCGCCTAGGTTCAGGATTTAGGGTTTAGGGTTTAGGGTTTGGGGTTTAGGGTTAGGGTTGAGTTCAAGGCTCAGGATTGAGGGTTTAGGCGACTGTGTTAGGGTAGAACTGGCTATGTTGGCTATGCAAGGATTATCCATTCGGGCAGTCTGCTAGAACGGGGCTTCCAACCGTTTCACATGACGGCTCAAGAACTCAGACTTCGTTTCTAGATCTCCTGTGCCCTCACGGTACTATATCAAGCATTTCCAAAACATGCATGTAGTCATGCACGAATCTCTACCGTGCTATACAGGGCATCTTGGATCACTGGGGGAGAGTGGGCGTGGGGGCTTAAAGTTGAGTATATAGTGGGTATTGCACCTGTACTTTTAATGGGTTTTCAGGGTTTACTGTTTGGCGCAAAGGCTGTAAGACCCTAAGTTCCTAAACCCTAAACCCTAAACCCTAAACCCTAAACCCTAAACCCTAGACCCTAAGCCATAATGCATCTGAGCCAACTTAGGGCCCGCTTCAAGCCGACTTGCCCCGAACTACTTGGAGGTTCAGGGCCAATTATAACTGTACTTGTCACCCACTTATGCGCCCCTTAAGTGCCCTAATAGGGTTATCAGTACAGTTTTAAGTACAGTTATGACCCTAAACCCCAAACCCTAAACCTTAGACCCTAGACCCTAAACCCTAAACCCTAAACCCGCTAAGTACAGCTATGAATGGTTAATAAGTACCATGACTCTCCAAGTATGGCCCCTGCCGTGATCTGAAGCCCCCTAGCATGCTCCCCTCTACAGTAGCCGTTTTTCAGTGGCAGTCAAAGTGCATGGTCCCTAGACTAATCCCTAAACCCTAAACCCTAAACCTGGGCGTTCAGGCATTTCGTTTGTAGCGACTCTGGGGCTTGTAGCTTGGGATGTTCCCCCTTATACTCACAGTCCTTCATGGGGGGTGAGACTTACTTCTCCAATAAGCAAGGGGAAAAAAAGGTTAAACTTTAATGTTCCTACTAAATAAGGAAACCCGAAAAGCTTAAAGTTCAACTAAAGGCGAAGTAAGTAGAATAGGGGGTACTGTAATCCCTATTCAGGACTGCTGGTATAAGAGGGGACGTCCCAAGTGGTGGCTGTTACGCACAAAAAAATCATTCTTACAGCTTCAGAGCTTCCGACACGTCGAAGCCCTAACTACCAGGCAAGATACATTGATCCCAATTGGAAACCCCAAACTCGAAGTAATATATTACAAAAGCAGTCGCCAAAGGCCCAGAAATATAAATATTCATCTACTCCGCCCTCCCCTGGTAGGGTGAGGGGCTCCCTATTCTAGACTATGGGCTTCTCATCGGTATCAAACTTTAAGCCCTTGTCAACCCGAACGTTGGGCCCTCATAACAAACCAAAACCCCAACAGGTTAGAGTTGGTTTAGGGTTTAGGGTTTAGGGTTTAGGGTTTAGGGTGTAGGGTTGAGGGTTGAGGGGCTGAACAAAACACATCCCGAAACCGTTCCAACCAGACAAGCTGCTGAGGGTTTGCAGGCGCCGGCGGGAAGCTTGAAATCCTTCATGCCTGATGCTCAGGTTCCGGAAGAAGGGCGTTCAGGGTTTAGGGTTTAGGGTTTGGGGTTTGGGGTTTGAGAACCCTAAATCCTAAACCTCATGTTTGAGGCCCGCATTGCCTGCTCTTCTGTCAATGAAGGTCAAGCTGCTGAAGGGTTCACAACTCCGAAGGATAAGCCACGCCACCGAAACAACAATCAAGCAGCGGAAATTCGAACTGCCCTAAACCCTAAACCCTAAACCCTAAACCCTAAACCCTAAACCCTAAACCCTAACCCCTAAACCCTAAACCGCCCTAAACCCTACTATGCGAACCAGAAGGCTTGGGGCTAACGAGCAACCCCAGGATCTAAGACAACCTCAAACTTAAAGAAAAGCCCTGCATCGCTGCAAGCCCTCAAGCAGGCCTAAACCCTAAAAACCCTAAAAACCCTAAAAACCCTAAAAACCCTAAAAACCCTAAAAACCCTAAAAACCCTAAAAACCCTAAAAACCCTAAAAACCCTAAAAACCCTAAAAACCCTAAAAACCCTAAAAACCCTAAAAACCCTAAACCCTTAACCCTAACTCCTAAAACCCTAAACCCTAAACCCTAAACCCTAAACCCTAAACCCTAGACCCTCACCCTCAACTCAAACCTAAGCCGTACACCTGAGCCCAAATTCCTACTTGAACCCCCCCCCCCCCCCCCCCCCAACCCCTAAACCACTAAACACGGCATAGGAATCCATCTAATTAAACCCTTTGCAGCCTACACCCCTAAAGCACTCTCTAACATCTGAAAACCCCCTAAACCCTTCAAGGCCTAAACCCTAAACCCTTAAAGCCCTAAACCCTTAAAGCCCTAAACCCTGAAACGAAAAACCGTCAGTCCTCGACCCTAAACACCCCTCATTCCCTAGAGACCAAATGAACCCTTAAAGTGGGGTCATATACCCTAAACGACGCTAATTCCTATCAAGGTACTATGAACCGCGAACACTAAAACCCTTAAAAAATCCTAAAACCCTAAAACCCTGAAGCCCTAAAACCCTAAACCCCTAACACCCTAAAACCCCGAAACCCCAAAACCCTAAAACCCTAAGACTTCACCCTGACCCCTTTTCGGGATTACCTACTTGGAGGCTCATGGTACTGATTAACCAATCATAACTGTACTTATAACTGTACTGATAACCATATTAGGGCACTTAAGGGGCTTCTAAGTGGGTTTTAAGTACAGTTATCCTAAACCCTAAACCCTAAACCCTAAACCTTAAACCCTAAACCCTAAACCCTTATGGTTCCCAAGGGATCCCTCAATTCCCCGGCGCGCGGCGCTCGTTATGCGCCGCGGCCATGCGCGCGCCCGCTTCGGCCTGTGGTCGCCGGGCGGTTTGAGGCTTTGGAAAAGGGTTTAGGGTTTAGGGTTTAGGGTTTAGGGTTTAGGGTCTCGGGTTCAGGGTTTATCATGAGCTCCCCTACTACCCCCCTCTGTACTAGCCTTTCTAGGTTCCTCCCAATGATTAAGGGTATTTAGGGATTAATTCAGCCTAACTAAGGCTATTTTAGGGGGGAAGCGGGGGGGGGGGGGAACCCTAAACCCTAAATCGGGGTGAGGGTAGTAGGGAACCCATGCGTTTAGGGTAGATACATAGAATATAGCGGCCTTGAGAATAAGAACAGGGCTTTTTCTTTTTTTTTTTTGGGGGGGGGGGGGGCATTATAGTAGAAATACAAAGGGAACATAAGGGAACACGATTAGTAATCATTCCGACCCCAAAAACTCAACCCTTAAAGCCCTAAACCCTTAAACCAAAACAACAAGTACTAGACCCCTAAAACACCTCCTTTCCTGGGGGCAATATACCCTAAACTATGCTAGTTCCTATTATGCCCTACAGCTCTGTGGGGTCTGAGGTCAGACCCTGAACTGATGCCAATGTCTTTGCTGCATGCAAAATGCTTCGGCGCACTTCCTTATGGCTGCCCACACACGGGTTGAGGGTTTAGGGTTTAGGGTTTAGGGTTTAGGGTTTAGGGTTTAGGGTTTAGGGCTTTGGAGCCTAAGGGATCCTTAGGGGGCCCAGATGGCCCCACTTGACTTGCTTGATCTTCCACTTTCTCGCGGGTGCGGAGCAGGGACGTCCGGCACCAGGAAACGCGTAAGGTGAAGGGTTTAGGGTTTAGGGTTTAGGGTTTAGGGTTTAGGATAAGTCTCCACAACTTCTTGGAAGCCGTTCTGGCTAGGGTTGTACCTTGGACCCTTGAGGTTGTACCCTTGGGATTTTGGGGACCCTTTTCAAGATCCCTATAAGGGTATATCAGGGTAGAGCATATTTAGGGGAACCTTTAGGGGTACAACCTTAGGGGTACGAGTCTTAATCCCTTGAAACCTTTCGTTTGGGGTTTAGGGTTTAGGGTTTAGGGTTTAGAGCAGGAGACACCATGAGCTAATCATAAGCTTCAAGAGGTTCACTGTCCTCGCGGCACATCATGCAGGCCTAACACCCTAAGCCCTTAGAGGCCCTAGGGCCTAAAGGCCCCTGAAAATATTATTCCTTGTAAGGGTAATGTAGGAATTATGTTTATATATATATATAGATAGATATAGGATATAATACATATATATATATACATTATTTTATTTTTTTTTGGGGGGGGTCCTTAAGCAAATAGTAGTAGGCCTAAACCCTAAACCCTAAACCCTGAACCCTCGACCATAGCGCCCTGAAGCTGCCACGACATGGCCGCAAGTCATACCTTCAGGTTTGGGACTTGTAAGGATTAGGGTTTAGGGTTTAGGGTTTAGGGTTTAGGGTTTAGGATTTATGGGCTTCAGGGATTAGGATGAATAGGGTCTGTAGGGTTTAAGATGTACAGGGCTTAGGGTCGCCGCTTTCGCGGTTCAGGGTCTCGGCAGTAGACCTTGCGGTTTCGAGGTAATGCGCCGGGCGAAGTCCTTCTTTCACAGGCTGATCCACACAAGACTGCCCAAAAAAACCCTAACAAACCTTCATCAACGCAAACAACATCTCTACACAGCCCCTAAACTCTAAACCCTCAATCCTAAATCCTAAGAACCCGTCTACCACTAATTGCTTAAGAACCCCGAAAAGACTCTTCCTCCTTAAGGGTAATATAGGGATTATGATGCTTTATTCTTCTGGGTTTCTTAAGCAAATAGAAATTTAAGCAGACCTTACAACGACCCTAAACTCTAAACCCTAAACCCTAAATCCTAAACCCTAAACCCTAAACCCTCAACCCAAAATCTTGAAGCCAAGGGAGGCGGAGCCTTTTTCTGGGCGGGCCCGAACTTGCCCGGCGCCATCCTCGTTGGCTTGGGTTTAGGGTTTAGGGTTTAGGGTTTAGGGTTTAGGGTTTAGGGTTTAGGGTTTAGGGTTTAGGGTTTAGGGTTTAGGGTTTAGGGTTTAGGGTTTAGGGTTCAGGGTTTAGGGTTTAGGGTTTAGGGTTCAGGGTTGAGGGTTTAGGTTAAAATAGGGTTGAGGGTTTAGGGTTCAGGGTGTAGGGGTTCCCATAAGCTAAGCAGCCCATTAACCACATTGGGATGAGGGTACCCGTATTTGGGGGTTGCTTGCTTTTTCAGGAAATCTTGAACCGTAAAAAGGAGAAGGGGTACCTCTGGGCTACCAAGTAAGGGAGGGGGGGTTCATGGGACCCTAAACCCCGAACGCTGAACCCTAAACCCTAAACCCTAAACCCTAA